GCTAATTGCCATACAGTCCAAATCTAAGCTTAGCTTTCAGAAAGGCTTCTTTGCCTCTCCTGCTCCTGTTCTGCAGCTGAGCCACAAAGTTCACACAGCCCTGCTGCTCTGTAACACAGTCATTTCAGTCCCCAAATGCTTCTTATTTGGTCTTCTAGTTATTTAAAGGCAACTTCAGAGACATCAGTGTACTCTGGCCCTGTCCTTCTAAGATCTGCGCTTCTGCCTTGCTGAACACTTTGTAGTCTTACTGATGCTAATTGTGTGTGGTTTAGTGTGTTCCACCAGACTTGGCAGAATTTCAGATGATTTTTACCTTTTATTCTGGACATTTTTTTTTCAGCAGGATTGAAATCAGGTTAAGAAAATAGAGCCTGGTTAGTGGAGTTCTTTAAAGGCAGGAGAAAAGGGGTTTTTTTGTACTCAGCTAGACTCCTCATAGCTCTAGTACCAGAACTGATGTTGACAGTTCTGTAATACCTGTGCTTAGGCCACATTTTCATCTAAAGAGTATCTTATCCCCAGGAGGCAGCCACAGATACTTAGGAAATGATAATGACATGTCACAGAGAGAGCCCTTCCCCAAACTGCTTGTGTTCATATTAAATAAGAATGAATTACTGTACCTCTTAATTAGCCAGTCATAGCTGTCATTTGTCATGTACAAATGCTGAGGAAAACAATTCCTGAGTGAGAGAACTAACCATCTGAAAGACAGACAGTCCTACACAAAGACTTCTCTTCTGCTGCAGACAAGCTCTGCATTGCAGAGGCAGAAGCTGAATTTGGCCCACATATTCAAAAGGTTGTAGTTCTAACTTTTGGCTCATGCTTTGTTATGTAAGAAAAAGAAAAGTAAGTGTTCATGTAATTGCTCAATGTCCAGTTGACATTTGTCAATTATACAGAGCATTTTTATAGCTTTGCCTGCTGAAAGTGCTTACAAACATATGTTGTCTTCTTCAGCTAAAAAAGTGTTTGCAACTCCACTTTAAGGGAAAACAATGAGATGGCTGAAACAGCAGATGAAGAGCCATATCTGGCACTGCCAAGGAGGAGTTGGGAGCACAGTCCAGCTTGTTCAACTCCCATCTTCTGTATTTGTCAGAACACTGGTCTGTTATACTGTAATTACGGATGGCTGACTTGATTCCTACATTTCACATCATGTCAAGATTACATGAAGAGTTATTATTTTCTTCATTAGGAATGGCTTTCATTGTCTAACCATTTTATTCTGAGCAAGCACAGTTTGCCAGGGGTTGTCAGGGAGCCCCCGGGAACCCCATCTTCCCTCCCTGTGTCAGGTAAGGACAGCACCTCTGCTGAAGCTGCTTGCCACCACTGTTGTGTCTGATCTATGCATGGTAAATCCTAAGCATGCCTGTGATCACTCAAGTGCTCTAAGTTATAACTGGAAAAAACTATTTTCATTATATGTTGCGTGGGCTGTCCTCTGTTCAGCATGTAGCCCAGTGGTGTCCCAGCTAATTCCTAGGCACTTAGATCCTACAGCTAATGACACACTGGCACAGATATTACAGAACCTACATGTAGGATAGCCTGAAGCTCTTGCTAACAATTGCAGGCAAGCTACATCAACATCCTGCAGCTCCTGTGATGTCGCTTCTGATCAGGCTCCATGCTAACAGTACTGTGCTCAGTTACCTCTGACACTCATTTATATTTCACTTTGGGAGGGAGAGCTACCCTGCAGGAAGACATGGATAGGCTGGAGGAATGAGCTAAGAAGAACCTTATGAAATTCAACAAGATCAAGTGTAAGGTCTTGCACCTGGGACAACATAAACCAGGATGCTGCTGTGGCAAAGAAAGCCAACAGGATGCTAGGCTGCATGAACAAGGACATCACCAGCACAGATAGAGAAGTATTTGTCCCACTCAGTGTTTGCCAGGCTACACATGGAATACTGTGTTCAGTTTTGGTCCCTGCTGTACAAAAGAGAGGTGGACAGGCTGGAGAGGGGAAAGAGAAGGGCCACAAAGATGATCAAAGGTCTGAGAAGCTTGCTATAGGAGGAACAGCTGAGAGAAGTGGTTTCTTCTGCCATCAGAAAAGAAGGCTCAGGGGAGACCTTATCCGTGTTCCAGTATTTAAAGGGTGGCTACAAAGAAGATGGAGACTCAGGAGCCCCATGGAAAAGACAAAAGGTAATGGATACCAGTCACTTATGGGGAGATTCCAATTAGATACAAGAGTAAAATGTTTCACAATAAGAATAATCAGGCATTGGAATAATCTCCCCGGGGAAGTGGTAGATTCCCCAACGCTGGACAATTTTAAGATTCACCTGGACAGGGTGCTGGGCCATCTTGTCTAGTGTGCACTTTTGCCACTAGATGACCAGATGATACTTGTATTCTGGTATTCATAGTATACCTGACCTGGGATTCCACAGTTCTATTATTTTTTTTCCATTGCTGCAGCCAGACCTGTTATTTTTTCTTTTTAGAATGAATTTTACTGCTGTCATTTCCTGCCCTTTCTTGTTGCACTATCCTGAGGCATGGAAAGTTCCAAATGACTGACACTTAAAAAACAAAAACAAAACATTTGCCTTAACTGCAAGAAAACTTTGTGCTTATTCACATGCTGATAAAGTTCTGTCTCCAGTGGGATTCTTGACTTGCCTTTTCATTATAATCTGTCAATATACTTCCAGAACAGTCTATAGTGTTAATTAGTATAATTTCAAAAGACTGTTGTGACTGGCAGCACTGTTTGCTTCAGCAGGCACTGGGGATTGAAATGACCAGCCAGCTAAATGTACTAGAAACATGGATGTTTTAAGCCACAAAGTCGTCGTCGTCGTCTTCTTCTTTTTTTTTTTTTTTTTTTTTTTGAGAGAGAGAGGGGGAGACAGAGAGAGAGAGAGAGAGGTCTGAATGACAGAGTTCTTCTTAGGCATGAGGACTGGTGAGCTAACCTTAGGGACAGAGGAACAAAGTGCAGGGAGGCAATGAAGGCTGTATGATCATGATTACCCTGTTTCCCAGCAACCTCCCAATGTACAACTGTGCCTACTCTGATATGCAATGCTGGGCAATTTGGCAGATGGATTTCCTGAAATCCCACATAATCCCACCTAATTTCACCTCTTGCTTTCAGAGCAGCCTCTGATACAGTCAGCTTCTGCTCAGGTTGCAGCTGAGGGCTGGTGGTTCATTGGAGCCCAGAAGAGTCTCTCCTCTGGCTTTGGTAGGTGGTATCTAAACCACCTAGAGAAAACTTAGCAGCCCTTAGATGTGTTCTGCACTTTGAGAATGCTTAGAGCAATGGTTTGGCAGACAGGATCCTAGACTTAAACACAGAAGATTTAGACTGAAATGCTGTCATAGCCAGACTCTAAATGTCTTTAAGGCAGAATAGCTGTGCCTCAGTTACTTCTCTGTGAACAGAGATAATTATTCCCTGCTGTACAGAACATGTAAGAAGAAAATCCATCACTGATTTTATACACTTTAATAATAAGTACAACAATGTAGGCACTAAAATAGACCATTGTCACTGAAATTGGAGAATAAAACTCCTTAACACCAATGCAGTATTAAGGAGCAGGCATTAGTCTATTACAGCACAGATGTACAGGGGATAACTCAGCCTAAGGTGCACACCTGGCTCAAGATGGTACATATTTATTAGCCAGGGATATACATATCCATCAGAGTACATGTTTCTGAACAATTTGTTACTTTAGGAGGCCACAGAGTCCCTTAACTGGCTTGGGCCGACTTGACTTGTTACCGAGCTCTCACCCTTCATGACATTTCATTAACTGCCACCTTGTTGTAATTTGCAACACCATCCCTAAGGGTGTTCAAGGCCAGGCTGGATGGGGCTCTGAGAAACCTGGTCTAGTGGAAGCTGTCCCTGCCCATTCTAGGGGAATTGGAACTAGATGATTTTTAAGGTCCTTTCCAACCCAAATCATTTTATGATACTGTAATACTTCACTGTCCCTCAGCGAATTTTGTTGAAGACAGAGTGAGAAAATTATTTTGAGTAATAAAATCCAACCCGTCGCTTGCCACACACTGGGTGTAATACAATTTATGACTAATGTATTTTTGACCACGGCTCTGACAACCACACCACAGTCCATGTGAAAACCACACAGCCACAGCTACCAGGTCCTGGGACAGGGGACACTGACAAGGAGGCACCAGTTGTGGTGGCCAGCTGAGGGGTCTGACCCAGCACTCTGCTGCAGCAGTAACCTCAGAATCACAGAATCAACTAGGTTGGAAAAGACCTCTGAGATTATTGAGCCCATGACCCAACACCACCCTGTCTACTAAACCACGGCACCAAGTACCACGTCCAGTCTCTTCTTAAACACCTCCGGGGCGCCGACTCCACCACCTCCCTGGGCAGCCCATTCCAATGCCCAATCATTCTCTCTGTGAAGAACTTCTTCCTAAAGTCTAACCTAAACCTCCCCTGGTGCAGCTTAAGACTGTATCCTCTTGTCCTACTGCTGGATGCCTGGGAGAAGAGACCGACCCCACGTGGCTACACCCTCCTGTCAGGGAGTTGTAGAGAGTGATGAGGTCTCCCCTGAGCCTCCTCTTCTCCAGGCTAAACAACCCCAGCTCCCCCAGCTGCTCCTCATAGGACTTGTGCTCCAGTCCCTTCACCAGCCTCGTTGCCCTTCTCTGGACCTGCTCCAGCACCTCAGTATCCTTCTTGAACTGAGGGGCCCAGAACTGGATGCAGCACTCCAGGTGCGGCCTCACCAGCGCCAAGTACAGGGGATGAATCGCTCTCCCGGTCCTCCCGTCCACACAATTCCTGACACAGGCCGGCTGTGCCTCGTGGGCGGCCCCGCGTGTGCCGCTATAGGCCCGCGGGCCCGGGGCTGCTCGCCCTGCCCAGGCTGAGATGGCGTCACCGCCGGCTCCCCTCGCGCGCCCGGCACGTGCCGCGCCCCGCCCCGAGAGAGCGCGGGCCCGGCCGGGCGGGCGGCGGGAACGGGAGCGGGACCGGGAGCACACGGCCGGGGACGGGAGCGCCGGGGACCGTCTCTGCGCTCCGGGGGCTGGTGCTCCTTCTCCGGCCGCCGTCAGTCCTCGAGTGAGCCACCGCGCCGTCCGCCCACGTGGGGCAGCTCGGGCGGCAGGGAAGCGGCCCGAGGTGTGCGCTGCCCTGAGGAGGAAACCGCGCCGGAGGCGGTCGGAGGTGAGTGCTGCCCTGAGGGGGGCAAAGGGGTCGGAGGCAGCCGAGGATGAGCGCTGCCTCGATGGGGAGAAGAGGGCACGGGCTGCCCAGGGGGTTAGTGCTGCCCTGAGTGGGGAGAAGGGCCGGGGCTGTCAGGGGGGAAGGGCGCTGGGCGGGGGTGTCTAATTTTATTCTTAGTTGAATTAGCTTAATTAGAATAGCACCTAACACTACTGTTCAGGTGCGGAAGTGCATTTCTGGTTGAGTGGGTTGCAGTGTCGCTTCGAAAACTGCTCTGCTTTATCTGCAAGTTCGTTTTAATTTGATTTCACCTATATACTACAGCAAGACTTTTACATTTAAAATAATTATATTGAGTGTTAACGTTTGGAAAGCAGGTGCCAGAAGTTCATCTCAGCAGAGCCCGGTCCGTGGTTGCTCTCAGGCAGCCCGTGTTTGTCCCAGAGCTCCCGGTCATGAGGAACCCAGGAGTGCAGCCTTCCTTTTCATTACTACAAACTTTTTGTACCCAAACTAGTGAGGTCTCCTCCAGAGAGACACGTCTCTTGTGGATCCAGCGAGCTTCACGTGCAGTTGGTGATGGCCACTCCTGCTTGTAGTGTGTTCCTCTCCTGAAGGAATTTTCGTTGTTTAATCTGCAGTGTTTGTTTATTGTCAAGGTCTGAGACCTAGAAAGCTTTTTGTTGTGCAGACTAAAGAAACGAACGGTAGAGAATGAGCCTTCCAAAATGGATGCTGAAATATGGCTTCAGAACATGACCCAAAAATACTTTAATTCGTGAGCCTACCTGAATTAATCTTTAAATCCATGCTTTTGCAGTTACCTGGCCCACCGGCATCTTTGGTCATACTCTGATGAGACGTGATGGTGGAACACCTTATCTCCAACATAATGAAGTTGCAGGTGCAGATTTAAGCATCAGTGCCAACTTCCTGTTAAAAGACTTCCAGTTTTGAGTCTGAGTTTTTCATTATCTAACCAAAATCAGTATTTTGTAAGCAAACTGTGCAATATTTTTTACAAGTGTAGAAACAGTACAGTAGAAAGTTTTAACTGCAGCACAAGTGCAATAAGAGAGACTTTGTCTGAAGCTTAACACAGGTATCTTGACTTTGTTCTTCTGTTATTGTGTATATACTTGATTATTGATGAATATCATCAGTACGAGTATGGCTTATAAATGCAACTAGCTCCTAATTATCCAAACCTGTGCAGGCTGAAATGCCTTAGATAATTGGAAAAAAACCCAGGATAATTGGCATACTAGGGAATTTGGGACAGATATCCACAGTGGGAGTTGGAGTTCCTTCAGCAATGTTTCTTGCCTCATCAGAGGTACTGTCTGATCCGTGTTCTCTTACTCCAAGCTGAGGAGCAGGAAAGGCTTGGTATACAACCATCTTGGGTCTGGAGAGTTCATGAAATTTGATTTCATGTTAGGCCAGAGTTCAGGCAAAGTTTACAGGTGGGGATAAAAAGGCCACATAAGCTTTATGATGGCTCAGTGGAGACCTCAGGTTAATAGTCCTGCCAGACTGGAACAAGCTCCGAATGGCATGTGTAGCCTACAACTGAAACAAATTCTTTGTGGGTGAATGAGTTGCACACTTATAAAAACAGAGTTCCTAGTGTGTTGGTATGCAGGCTTAGCTGAATGTCTTGTAAGAGTTGTTTCATAGACAAAAAACTCCCAGGAAAGGCTACAAGGTTTATAAGGCACTCACTAGAAAGTCAGAATCTCTTGTTTCGGAGATTTTGTTTCTGAATACTTGCTGATGTGACAAAACTATGCAGAGGTATAACATAGGCCACATTTTCAACAGTAATGAGGAAACTCATACTGTTACAGCTACTGTAAAGTTGCATGTTCTGACTATCGCAAATTATGTAATTTTTTTTTTCTAAACAACTTTAATTGAAGCAAATTCATGGGTGGAGGACATTTTTGGCATTATATTGAGTGGCAAGCACAGAACAGTTAAAACTGTTGCTTTAATAATACCACTGATTGTATTATTGAATAAATGTAGTATCAGAGTGAAAACAAGAAGTGACTTCCAGAGTGTGTCATGTTCCTAGCATCCCCACGTGCTCAAATGTGCTGGTAGAATAGTAGGAGTAGCCAAGATCCTTGTTTCTTCCTGCAAATACTCCATAACATAGACATGCATTAGTGTTGTTAATCGGATCCCTTTGCAAAAACTTCTGCTTCTAGGAAGTTCCATGGAAGACAAAACTCGTAGAGGAAACTTGACAGCTGCAGCTGATGAAGAAAATACTGTGAGTTATTTCACACTCCAAGTATTCTGAGCATTTCTGGATAGCAGAAATGATCAGCATATGTGGCTCATTCCAGAACTCTGAAGTTTCGGCTCTTTTTGTTGTCATGGTTTTGTAAATCAGAATACATTTTTCTAGTAAGAATAACTTCAGGTTTTTCTTCCACAGGACTCACATTCTAACTCAATTAATGGGAAGCCAAAGAAATTGCAATGTTTCTCTAAGAATGCTTTTTCTGTTTGCTGTGATGAGAGTCTCTTGAGTTTGTTAGTACCACCCCCTAAAGGTGGGACTTGCCATCATTGTGGTCTGTATGGTAAGTGCCTGTTGTCCTGTAGTCTGACATACAGTGTATTTGTCAGTGAAAGCAGATCAGGCTTGCTCAGAAGTTTCTTAAAGTGAATGTATATTTTTGACTCTGAGATGCAAATACAGACTATTCAGAACATAGTTGGAGTAGTAGAACTGATAAACAGGAGATAGCATCTCCTTATCAAAAGTGGTGGGGTTTTTACCTTAAATGTGGAAGTAATTTGGGACATTTTGGCATTAATGTCTAACAGCTGTGTGTGAATACAAATACCTCTTTGTAGGTGCTTAGAATAGTAGTGGAGCTGTTTTGTAAAGCAATTATCTTAACAGCTCTTGTCCATTCCAATATATGTTTCTCTCAGACTTCTCTTTTCTGTCTTTTTTCTTTAGGAACTCTCAGGTGTTCCCAATGTATGCAAACATACTATTGCTCTGCAGATTGTCAGAAAAAAGATTGGCCAACACATAGGGTTGTATGTGATCCCATTAAACAGAAGTAAGTTTGTTAAAAGTTCTGCCACATAATCTGCACAGAAAGACAATATCCCTCCCAAAACAACAGAAATGACCATTGGAAGGCACTGTTACAGTAAAATATATTGCTTCTTCTTAGGCTAGTACTGCATTATCTTATACCTGGCTGAAAACTCAGCTCTTCTGCTTCAGAAGGGTTACTTGAAAGATATTTTTGGAGTTCTTAAGGCATATTGTAGAGTGATTTAAAACAAAAGCATTAATTTTACCAGGTGAGGATGCAGTAAGGATACCAGTTTGTCTCATGACTTTGTTATTGCTGTTCTTAACATAGGGAGAGGAGAAACAAGACTCTGCTCTCAGCAGTGTCATGGTTAAGGGATTGCAGGTTCTGAGGAGCACCCTTTGAATCTGGCTGTAATGTCAGTGAAATTCGTGGATATTTATCTTTGATGAGCACAGTTGCAATTAGAAGTAGTTGTTTGAGCCAGACCATTCTCTGGTGCTCATTGTTTTTTGCCATGCTGGTTTGGAGGCTCAATAGATCACTCACTAATCTGTTTCAATTAAAGTAAGCACCATTAGTTTATGTCACAGTACAGATTGACTGGCTGGCTTTGGAACAGCTTAGGGGGTGATCTGAGCATTTTGACAGTCTCTTGCAAGGAGTGATGATTGCAGTTCAGCGAATCTGCAGCCAGGTGTACACAAAGGAGATTGTTTTTTTGGACAAGTTTTGCTGCAGTGATGAATGTGGAGGGGAACATGGGGACAGTCTGGCATGCATGTTACCTGAATATTACTTTCGTATTCTACTGAAATAGCAAATTTTTTTCCAATTTTATAGTTCTTGAGGTTGGCTTGGGATTAAGGTGTTAGCAGAACTCCACAACAGTGTCAAATATCTCAATTTTAATCGAAATCAGTTTGTCAGGAAAAACACACCAGGTGTTGCTTAATAGGGAACTAACATATAGTTCATTTTCTTGGATGAGGAATAAGGGTTGACAAAAACACATATTATGAACACAGCCTTTTATTTCTATGTGCAAGTAGACTGTATTATTAATGCTACTTGTCAGTCTTTGGTTCTTCAGAATTAACATTTTTTCTTTGATTACAGTGCAAGTAAGAACAAAACCAAGGAGGGAGTTTGTCTTAAGGTATGGAATACAATTTTGACTATATCTTGAATGGATCTGCTGTGAGCGAGATTTAACCTGTACAGGAAAGGAACAAGTTTCTTCTTTCAGAAAGAACAGTGCTTCAAATGAAAAGTTACTGGGGGAAGCATTCAGAAATAGTTACATCTAGAGCCCTTAAAGGCACTATCAGAGACAACTCTGGTATTGTTTGAAAAAACATATGTGAAAAAGTTAAAAATCAAGACATGCATGATGTTGCTGGAGGAATTATGGAAAGGAAACAGATGCAGTGTGTCCAGTTCAGAAAACTTCTGGTGCTTTCTTTTCTGTATAGATCATGAGGTGATGCTTGAAGCCTTGGCAGTTTATTAGAGAAGTAAATTTAATGTAATATTGAACAGTAACAACTGCAGATAAGCTGTTGTTTCTTTGCTGTACCAGGAATTAAAGATGACACAGTTCTCCTTTGTAATATTTTGAAGCCTCTCTTGATCTTACTTTGAGCCTGCAGTCTTCCTATGAACTCTTCTGCAGGAGTTGATTTTTTTGTCTTCATTGTTTCTTGGGATTGTATTTGTGGAAGGGAATAAACGTGCATGCCTCCAACTAGCCTCGTGTTTGCACTGTACAGAGAACTCCTCTGTCATGTGCTCTTTGAAGCTACAGCTGAACAACTGCAGTTTAAACATAACTTATACCTGTTTTAAGTAGAGTAATTCAGCTTTTATGGATTCTCTTTTTACTTAATTGCCGAATTCTTTAGAAGAGAGTTAAGAAGTTAGTTGAATTGATAGCACTTCAAATCCCAGCAGCAGCTTTACCTTTTATAGGCAAGGTGATATTTCTGAAGGCCTCAATTATTTAGTTGCTTAGATAGGGGCCAAACAGTCCTCTACCCATCTTGTTCTAGTTGTAATTCTTTCCAGGCCACTGTTCAGTAACTGTTGTTGATATATTACAGGAGGAAGTGACATTGAGTTTTGCTGTAGATGTTGTTCTTCCAGAGACTGGTAAGTACTTAGTTGAGTGTGGGGAAAAAGAACAATACAATTCAGGCTTTTATGTTCACACCCCTCCCCAACACCCTTAAAAGACGAGTGTTTTCTTTTGTTCTCCTTTTGTCACTGTTCCAGCTTGCTTTCTTTTACCTTTCCATATAGAGGTATTCTTAAAATGTCAGTGCTCAAAATACCTTCTTAGGCTTAATAACCTTAAATTTTGGTAATTCTACTTTTCCAGTAGAATAGCAATAAATTCAGTGTGTTCTAGACTAACTTGTTTATTTTTTTTTTCTTTGTTTTAATAGATGCATGAAAATTTGGTACTGTTTTGTTTCTTTGTCTCATCCTTTTTTAACTCTTTAAAAATTAAAGTATCATTTTCTAGTTCCATCTAGGATTTTACCAGCTTTTTTATATTTCATACATGCTCACTAAAGTATCCCAAAGAAAGTGCAATCACTGGATGTTGCTGTATCTAGTTGGAGAACTCTGTAAGAATGTTTGTATTTCTGACTTTGCAAGCCTCAGTGGATAGAAACAAGCCAAGCACCAGACCTTTGAGGAGTCAGAATTCAGATTTTCAGTTGAGCTGGGTGGCTTTGATTGTCAGACAAGATCAATACACACAAGGTGTACCTTTTGTCATTATTTGGAGGGCTGTATTGTTTAGGTTTTCTTCTGCCTGCAGAGCAAGAACAATATAGAGCTGAGAGCACATTCATTTCATTGATCTACAGCCCACAGAAACTTTGAAGGAGTGATGGTCGATCCTCTTAGCTTGCTAAAATTCCTCATGTGCAGGAAGCTTATTCTCTGTGTCATACTCTCTGCAGTGTCTAAAAGGATGGTTCTGCTTAGTCCCATGTATATTCAACTGATTCAGGATTGTGCTGGGCATATTTCCCATTTGATTGCTTTACAGCACATTAATGGCAAAGCAATATATAACTTGCCAACCTTTTGGAGGGAACATCACATAAATATCACTGCATTCTTGAAATGTTCCATGCATTTATCCCATGACTTCACAAGCAACTTAAACACCTGTATTAAGGTTTTCATTTGAAAATAATGATATTGAAAGCTTGGAATACTGTTCTCATGCATCAGAAAAAGAATATGTAATAGCTAAGGAACTCAAGATTTCTTTATAATTCTTAGTAACTCATTATATAATCAGTGTTTTAAATACTGAGCTAAGTTATAAACCTTTGTGTCTGAAAAGCTCTAACCAGTTTTTCAGTTAACAGTAGTGACTGCAAACAAATGTTGATTGTTACTGCTTTGCTCATTTTATTTTGTCGAACAGTCTTGGAGCCGTGAATGTGTTCAGAAAACTCAAGTAGTTGAGCTACTCTGAAATTACTTTTATTTTGCATTTTAAACATATTAAGTGCTGAGCAAATAAGTCAAACATGCTCACCTTGTGATAAGGATATAGGGGATATAGGTCAGGCTCACTAACTGATGGCTGTCTTACATGGTAAATCGCTTTCTCACGTCTGTATTTTAGGCGACTGCCTAAATAAGGTTCCCTTAGAAATGAAGTCTCACTTAATTCCAGAAAGTGATGCCAGCGGAGGAGATTCTCCAAGAGGTAAGCAAGCAAATCAAACTAAACTTGGGGAATTTTAGGTTCTTCCATATTGCACCATATTCAAGCTGTTCAGCAGCATCCCCTCACACTTAAAAATATATGCTAGTGAAGCTTCCTTCAGGTCACTTCTTAATAGTATAAAATATTAGTGATAATAGTATAAAATTTTAGTGATTATTATGTGAGCATCAGTTTTGTGGATTAGGTGACAGAAGCCTTCAAAGTCTAAAGCGTCAACAAAAAGAATAAACTGTTTCAGTATGTTTATATTTTCAAAGTCATCTAGCTTTTGATCAGCAACCTTTTTTCTTTTTTATGTACAGTGTCAGAAAACCATTCAAAGGGAGGTGAAAAGAAAATACCTGAAGATGAAGACTCTCTTCACTGTGCTAATTCATTTGCAAAGTGTGTCTCTTTAAGCATAGGAGACAAATTTTCTGGTATGGTTTCCCACATTCAAAATCCAGACACCTTCTTCTGTCAGCAGATGGACAATGCCTGTAAGTGATGTGTTGGGAACAGAATGTAGGATGCCTAATATGGCATTTTTCTCTTCATTAGAGAGTGGCTGGAGGGAGGTGTTGCTGGTCTTGTAGTTTTACCTGAAATAGTGATTCCCTGTAGCTTAAGGCCATGCTTCAGTTAGTTAAGAGCCACAGTATTGTAGAGGATAGTTTTTGGCAGTGTTAGCTGTTAATATTACTTGCTAACTGCTCTTGTGTTAATTTGTGGGCAGTCTGAGTAGTGCAAAGTACAAAGGTGATATGGCTTGGATTTAAGCAATCTGAAGTCAATTCGTATCACAAATATTTAGTGTTAAATGTGTTCACTCGGGTGTGCTAGAAATGTGTTTTGAGTTTGTAATTACTTTTTTAACTCCTATAATACCTTGTTATTCCCTTTAACAGTGGAGGGAAGTGTTTCCTTAAGACTAGGTGTGTGGACTGAACGTCTTTGATATGTAGTATGAGTAGAATATCTGAGTATGAGGAGGCCAGGTAATAGTGCTTTGGTGCTTCCTGACAGAGTAAAACCTAAGACTGTAAGTGACACTGTAGAGGCCAGAGTGTGAGGCTGCAGGGCCTTCAGGTGCATCTTCCACAGTGCCCATAAACAGATGGCTGGGGGACAATGAAAAGGAGAATAAGTTGGTGAGATGTGTCCCTCTCCCAGTGCTGACTGAGCCAGTGGGCTTTTTTCAGCTAAAATGGCTTTGGCAGCTGGATGTGATCTGGTGTATCTCCTGCATTGGATTTTTCTTTTGTGTACATCTGCAGCCTTTTAATTCTGGGTAGTCCAATAGCATAGCATGTCCTTCGGCAAGAAGTGACCTACCTCATCGTCTGCCTGTTGTTTAAAGAGCTGCCTTCCTTGTTTCTTTCTGGCACACTTCCACTAGCTTGCTTTCAATTTCCACTGGCTTCAGTTTTGTTCCTCTGTTCAAAAAGTCCATCACTGGTTTTCCATATTCCTTCTCTTTACTGCTGATTCCTCACACTTGCATGAGGACCCTCTTCAATCTTACTGATTGAAGAGTTCTGGTCTCATCGCTATTTTGCTATTATGTTAAACTCTTTAAATAATCTCCATTAGACTACAAGATGTTCTTCCAGGCTTTGAGGTTAATATTTGTGTACTTTTGTAATAATTGCAAGAGAGGCTATGTTCCAAAACTTATATATTTTAACATTAGGTCAACTTGCTGAGCTTGAAGTGTCTCTTAATGAATATTGTGGCAGATTTCCCAGTAGTCCGTCTTTCCATCCTGCTGTTGGAAGTGTGTGCTGTGCCCAGTTCACAGGTAAAAACAGAGTGAAAATACTAATTCACGTTACTTTAAAATTGCATTCCATAATTATGTTTAAAAACATTTCACATAGAGTTTATTTTATTTCTGTCTGGTTTTTAGCTGTGGATAATGCTTGGTAATGATTGAAGAAATTATATCTATAAAATACTTATTTAAGAATGACCCTTCATTGAGCAAACTCTTAACACTGGATTTAGATTATTTAGAATAGCTTTTTATGAGGTCACGAAGGAATTTGGGGTTTTGTACATTGCTAAGTATTATCTCCCCATGGCTGGAAATAAATATATACTTGAAATTTCAGATCCCACAAAAGGGACAGAAGAAATGGGATTATATGTAATGATGAGGCTCTGATAGGCTGCTTCTCAAAACGTTATTTAGCCAAGACCTGGTAGTCCTGAATCGTATTGAGACAGATGTATTTTTTAATGTAAAAAAAAATCATTCTGTTCTCAGAATTTACAAGTAAATACAATGAACATCTGTATCTTCCTTTCTAGAAGACAATCTTTGGTATCGTGCTGCTGTCACAGCATATGCTTCTGAAGATACTGTTTTGGTGGACTATGTGGATTATGGTAATTCTGACTCTGTTCCACTGATGAAACTTCGTCCTGTGATTCCAGCATTAATGGACTTGCCAGCTCAAGCCATAAGGTGTTCCTTGGCAGGTAGGAAATAAATTATAAGGTGTTTCAAACTACATAGAGGCAAAATAAGTGGGATTACATAGCCATCACACCTGTAGTATCTTACATGGAAATATGGGGATGGATGCAGGTTTCAGTAGGCATTATTTCCAGAATTCTTAACTGTAGTGGCATATCTACAAAATGTGACAAATCTGTCATAATGTACCTGGTGACTTGAGTTATATGTCTGGAAAACTGTTATATGAACATGACCATTAGATTTTGCATATGCTTTTGTTCTAAGCACAATCAGTAATTTACTGGATATGTGGAATTCTTAAATCTGTTGTGGTTCTAATACTGCAGGGGAAGGTAGATTTCGTTTTATATCTCCAAATTCAGAGCTGTATTGGTCCCACTCCCCTATGGCAAATCTAGTAAAAGTACTGATAGATTCCTCACCATAGGCTCGTGGAATCTGTGAAGTTGGAAAAGGGCATTGACAGTTCCTAGTTCACTTTTCTGTCTCAAGCCAGGATCAATCAATTTATGCTTGTCTTTGTGTGATTTTTAATTATTAAACTAATTAAAAAGTTCAGAATCTAAATAACTGGTTTTGAAATCTTGTTATGGGCAAGAGGAGTAAGGGTGAGTCACCTGGTGTATCTGCTGCTTTATCTGTTGCTTTACATAGCCTTGTTGTGCTTTTCCACACATTGGTGAGACTTGGACTGACCTCAAAACCTTTTCATACTGTGTCACTTTTTAGGTGTGAAGCCACCACTGGGAACTTGGACCTCAGAAGGTACTTCTTTTATGAAAAATCTGGTGAAAGACAAAGTGTTCACAGTAAAAGTAGTGGATAAAGAAGGTTCTACATCTGTGGTGGAGCTTGTGGACGCATCAGTTACTCCGGCGATAAATATATCAAGCCTTCTCATAGAGGAAGGCTGTGCAGCTGAGGAGTCAAGGGTGGCCTTACCAGCAGTCACAATGAGTGATGTTAAGCAAGAAAATGGTGAGTATGAGCATGTCCTGCTGAGCTGGCATTATGTAATCTCCCACTGGAGTGGGTACAGAGAATGCAAGCTCTTTGCTGGTCAGAGCTTTCCAGTCTGGCTCATGAAGTGTAGGCTTCACAGCTCAAAGGTTTAACCATGGCAACTTTGCCATGAAGAAATCGTGTGTCTGTATGTGTCTGTGCATACATAACAAAGTTTGAATTGCCTATTTTTGGAAGTTGGTACTGACTCTGGTTAGAAGTCTTACGGTTTCTAGTTGGATATGACTAGCTAGTACCTGCTTGTTCTTATGCCCTTGTCCATTAGTGCAAAAAGTATTTTCTCTATTTTCATCTTCATTGTCCTATATTTTACACATAAACCCACCTAACTCACTCCTTGAAAATTTGACAGTAGCCTATAGAGTTTCCAGGCTATGCCTAAATTGCCTTTTTTGCATTTAGTGACCAAAGCTTCTATCTGAGACATTTGCAAAAGTTATATTGGATTTCTTTGAAATCTGGGGGAAGATTCCTAGCTTCTCTCTTATGAAGCATGTTAAATCCTTCTTTTCCATCCTGTGTCTGGTAAATGTATGTGGTGTTCCCTCCTGATCCATTGGTTCTGAAAACTGGGGGGAAGTCTTTTTGTCAAATCTATGTTCAAATCCCTTAATTTTTGATCTTCCCTGCTAGACACTTTGTGGCCAAGACATGATTATTGTTCAGAAGGGTAAGGAATGTTACATAAAATTCAAATGAACGGTAACTCCCGTGGCTGCATCCAAACACATTTTGATATGTTGCTCTCATGTCAGACATGCTATTGGGCAGATGAAACAGCATCTCAGCATGGCCATTCTTGAATCTCAAGTTCCCCAGGGACCAAGGTTCCCCAGTGTCCCTCTTGCCTAGGCTGTTGCCACATAGTCTGTACCTCGTTGTATGATTACTCTTCCCTGTTCATCTGTGGCTCGCTCCTTTTGGTAGTGAAGAAATACATTAAGCAGCTGGCATGTTCCTCTTACTTGATTTTACTCTGCAAAAAAGGCTCTCACTATAAATAGTCTGTCAGGCTATTTATAACAAGAATTTCAAGGATATGAATGAACATTCAAGATGTATAATTTTTTTCCTGTAAAAACGTCTTTTCATTCTCTCCTTTTTTCTGTCTTCTCTAGAGGACACGATAAACAAAAGAACATGCAAGTGGGTTAAATTAACTCTTAAGCAAACAGTCAGTGTCACAGTGTGTACAGTATACAGTCCTGGGGAATTTTATTGTCAGATTTCAAATACCCATGGTAAGTTTATTCTGCTTTTTTCTTCTAGTTTCTTTGCTTCCTGATTTGTCATTTTTTGTAGTTCTAATGAATTACTGTTTGAAGGGAGCTTATAGCACGAAGGCTTACCTCTGAGTTTTTTATCTAAGAATACAAGTGGAGTGGCAAAGAAATTGGATCATGTTATTTAGTGACTCCAGTTTGAAATCTGAAAATGTTGAAGGTAAGCAGTTGAATAAAAATCCAAGAATGTAGAGGAAAGTGAAAAGTACCATAACTAGCCAAAGGACATCTAAAATTTTTTTTTCACAGAAGGAGTGGTCAGGCATTGGAATAAGTTGCCCAGGGAGGTGGTGGAGTCTGAATGTGGCACTTGGGGATGTGGTTTAGGTGTGATTACGGCAGTGCTGTGTTGACAGTCAGACTCAGATAATCTTGAAGCTCTCTTCCAGCCCTGATGATTCTGTAAATAAGAGACGTGTTCCCTGTGCACAAACAGTATTTACCAGAGCTATCCTCTAGTACTCTCTTCTGATTTATAAAAACTTACAAAGAGATGATAACTGTAACATGAAAATGAGTAAATGCAGCTTTTGAGGCTTGACTTCCTCTTGGATAAGCTAAAAAAAAAAAGTCTTGGTTCTCTATCAGAAGTCTCTATAAAGGCTTTTTAACCTGCTAGAAAAAGAACATGACAAAAGTCAGTGCTGAAGTGGAAGCTAAAGGCATTCAAACAGAAAATATGGGGCAGATCTTAAAAAGTGACATGTTTATTCTTTGACTTATCTAGGGATAGTATAAATTCCTCATGGTTTATAGACTTCAAATGACCAAAATCCTCCCTAAAAGTGATGTGTATAGAGCAGGCTGAAGGTCTCAGTATAAAAAATAAACGAGTAGGGTAAGATCCTATAACTTGTCATATGCACTGGCTGAACTAGGTAGTTTCCATGGTGTTACCTAACTGTAAAATATACTTTAGATTTTACAAGAAAGTGTGGGTTTTTTTGGTTAGCAGGAAGAATTACTGGTCATTTTGTTATCATACTGAACTAATGTGTCAGGAAATAGCAGCTGTCTCATCATTTCCTGCTAATAAGCCTGTGTAGTGAATTAAATAGTTAATTCGGTGTCAACAGTGTCTTCATTTTTTCTTTTTATGAAATTCTAAAATTCACAGAAATCTCCCATGAAATGTTTTACAAATAAGCTATACAGTGGACAGTATTGATAAAGTTCAAGTCAGCTTATTTAGTTGATCTCATATTTTTTTTTCTTTCTAATTTTCAGAATTGCTTGCTCTAAACTCACTTAACAAATCCATGTCTGAATACTGTCAGAAAACTCCACCAGATGTTTTCAAGCCTGAGAATGGAGAACCTTGCTGTGCTTTTTTCTCTGGCAAGTAACAGCCTGAAATATTTTTGTTTTTACAGGGTGAACACAAACAAAAAAAAAATTAGCTGATAGTTTGCACTGTACAGAGGATAGAAAAGAATTGGATTTATTTACTGAAAAATGAAAGCTGGTAGACCTACCAAGTGTGTGAAGTAATTATTAATTTATTTTTTAAAAAACTTTTTTAAAATTAGGAGATGGTAACTGGTACCGTGCTGTGGTGCAAAACATCACTTCAGGTGGAACTGTTGAAGTGAGCTTTGTGGACTATGGAAATTTTGAGGAAGTACCATTGGATAAAATACGGAAGATCTCACCGTCATTCCTAAAACTTCCATTTCAAGCAATTAAATGCTGGCTCTCAGGTGTGTCTTATGGGTTCTTTCTCTTAGGAGAGCTATTGCATTTACAGACTTGCTGCTGTGGGGGAAGGAGGTGATGAAAGCAAATACTGTACAGAATTTTGTTCTTTTGGGGTTTGTTTTGTCTTCCCTGAGCTCCTCCCAGTGCTGTGGAGTGATCTGCATGGACTTCATTTACTGATTTACTGGTCAAAGGGAACTTGTTTAGTTCTGTGTAGTGCTTACTGGCTTTGGGTTGCTGCCTTGAAACACAAGTAAATGTGCTTTTGTGCAACTTTATTACTCAAAATTTTTGCAGGCAAAGGAGCTAATCTGTTTTAATGAAGCAAGTCGGCCTTTCAGTTCTCTGAAATGGGATGTTTCATTTGATTCCTGTAGAGTTTGGCACCATACTTCTGTTTCTCAATCTTATAAAAATTCCCTTTCTACAGCAAATCACTCAAAATTGTGCATAGTTATCATTTCTTTCTAATGTAGTCTACTTGGTTTAAAAATGAAAAATGTGGAAACAGGAAAAAGCTCAAACTCACATTTCACTGAAGTGTCTTTTGCTGGTGTCCCCTCCGCCCTTAAAACACTTGGGGGTTTTTCTGCTCTTTTGATAAAAAGGCCATATTATACTAATGCATAAACAGTCTTAGTTGTGTTTTCTGTGCAAAGGCACAAGGATATACTTAATAGAATCACAAAACATAGAAAACAAAACTTGGGAGTCCTGAGGAAATGTGTTCATTTCAAAGAAAGGAGGAACAGGGAGACCACTTAAGAGGATGAAGGGCAATGTGTTTCCCTAAGGTAGTAAAATAGCCTTGATATTTCAAGTTATGCTTTAAAAAAAAAAAAAAAAAGGTTTTTCTAAAGGAAATTATAATGTTGAAGAAAGTCAGCATTACTGAATGGAGATATTTTAACAGTTATTTTACTTCCTAGGTATAAAGCCTCACAATAACAAGTGGAATAAAGAAGCTGCAATAAGATTTCATATGTGCACTTCAGGGTTAGAGCTTCAAGCCACCGTAACCTCCCTGTCCAGAGATGGGGCAGGTGTGGTGCTTACAGACAATTCCACAGTTCGTCCAAAAGTGATCAATGACATACTGACTTCTGAAAATTTGGCTGTAAAGGAAGTTCTACAAGATAAAAATAACTTTCCAAACAAGTCTGTTGACCAAAAAGGTAATTAAAGGAATGTTAACTTTTAGATTTTCAGTATTCAAGCTTGTGACTGTGATCTTGTTGTTTCACTGTAGTTAGATGTCAATAACAAACATGTATAGTTTTTGTTATGTTGTCAGTTTTTACAGCTGAACACAAGCTGCCCTGCAGGTGGCATTACAGACAAAAAGAGAAAGATAAAAATTTGTGTCTGTCTTAAATGAATGCTGTTTGACTCTTTGAGAGTTAGAGAATTAGAAATTTTTTATGACTGAAACTTTTCTCATGTTTATTTTCCAATATCTTATTTTTTCTGAGGTGTTTTTTTAACTTCAGCTACTTTTATATGCCAATAGTTTGTGAATAGCAAATTAAGCATCAGTTATCTTGGTTTAGATTTGTCTTCCTGAAGGAAAGACATATAGTTGTCTTTGAAATTCAAAAAGATATTATAAATATCAAATAAAGTAACAGTTACTTATAATATGTATATGCATGGAGGATAGTGGTAACACTTCATTTTCTTACAATTTCTATTAGTAACCTCACTTGGGCACTGGAAGTCATTTAAATTGGCTGTAGGTGAAACCATAAGGGTCTTTGTAACAGAAATTGTAAGCCCAGACTTGTTCTACGCTGTACCAGTTCTAAATGAAGGTAAGAAAAAGTGTTCACTGTTCCTAATACCAGTAAGAAGACACTGTTGCAACCTAGTTAATAAAATGAATGCCTATAGTGAACTGGACCATGTGGAAATGTACCTCAGAGAATAGGAAAATATAAAATATGCCAAAGCTGGGATCAGGGGAGCATAAAACTGAAGTATGCTCTTCATTATATCCAAATGTGTTTAACTACCAAGTGGTTTTTTTCTGTAGTTCAAAAGAAGGAGTATAGGGAGCTGGCTGCACTAGGAACCTATTGCAGATCTTGTAAGAAAGAGCCCTTCCAACCAAAACTGGGTGAAGCTTGTTGTGCCCAGTTTTCAGGTGAGACAATTGTTTGTTCTTGTATTTCCTTGACCAGGGTAAAACAGAGCGTTCATTTTTGCTTTAGAAAAAGGAAAAACACCAACTTGAAAGTGCTTACAGATCTCTTAATGCTGTTACAAAGGATAGTCTGGCTGCATCTTTAGGGCAAAGAAACTCCTGACAGTCAGGGAGAGGAAATAAGGAATAGGTTGTGCCCAACAAAACGTATGGAGCTTTAAGTGGGAAGAAAACTAATTACTGTTTAGACTGCCATGAAAGTCATGGCAGAGCAGTGCAGACCCACTTCTGGATTGTGGGTGCCCGAGTAGTTTTTCACTGTTGCTTTGTGTGAGTGTGGGGCACTGACACTGGTTATGATCAGCCTTGTTAGGCTAACAAGTTGTCCAGGCTTAGTGACCTCTTAATTCAAGTCAGAAATATTCTTAACAGCGAGGGAATTTTGATTTATTATTTTAGTCTTTCAGAAGAGGGGATACTCTCCTGGTACCTAGCTCACTATTTAAAAAAAAAAAAAAAGTGTTGATTCAAATAAATGTTGACTGCATGTGGCTTGTTACAAGCAACCTGGCAAGTGCTGAAAATTAACTTGGGTGCTAGATCAGGTAACAGTTCATGGAAAACAAGATAGATGAATTTTAAAAAATGCGAGAATACAAGAGTACAGAGTATACCTAAGTGTTTGACAGTTGTCTTTGACTTCTGATGATGAGTTGTTGTTACTGCTTGTTGCCTTTCAGGATAATTGAGGAAATGAGATTTTTTTAAGTTTTTTATTTTAGTTATGTTTCGAGAGGGAGTATGTGTTGAAAAACAAAGGTAAGGAGCTAGAAACAGAGTGTGCAGACATCCTTAAAACAGTCTTGTAGTAAAAATCTTACCTGTACAAGTTGAAGCAATATTCTCAAAGCAAAACTTGTATCTTTATGAATACAGCAGTCAGAAACTATTGCCTTGTTTTGTGAGCCTGCTTCTTGTCAAGTGGTCTTATATATGTGCCAGAGGGTTTAAAAATTCCTGTAGAACTCTATAGATTCTTGTTCTTGGAATAAACTGTGTTTTTAAGATGATACTTCACATGTGACTATTCTTGTCCCAATCTTTTCAGGTAATGGCCGGTGGTACAGAGCTCTTGTTCTAGAAGCTTCCCAGTCTGCAGTGAAAGTACTGTATGCAGACTATGGGAACACAGAAACTTTACCACTTTCAAGGGTGCTGCCAATCAGTGATTCCTTTTTAAAGCTGCCTTTTCAGACAATTACATGTTCACTTGCAGGTAAAAAAGGTCCCAAAAATAAGCAAAACAAAAACATCCCAAAAACCCCTGACTTGTTTTCTTGAACGTTAGAAATCTGTACCTGTTCTGGTGGTAGAGTTCATTCCTTAATACTGGTAAACAACATGATGATCCCACTGAAATAGTACACTGGTTAACATTGCAAAAGCTGTTTTAGAAAGCATGTTTTTAGTTCATTATCTGTAGCATTTAAGCTATTTATACTTGGAAAATTTAGCATCACATTTTCAAAAACATGCATGTAAGATTTGAGTCATATCATAAAGGAATTATTTAGATGACAAACTAGGTTGTCTTTTTTTTTTTTTTTTTGCAGGAATAGAGAAAGTTGAGTGGTCTCCACTACTGCTTGACAAGTTGAAAGAAATGGTATTGAAGCAATTCGTTGCAATTACAGTGAAAGGGTTTAACGGAGATGTTAAGTTAGTAACAGTAGAGAAACACTGTGAAAATGGTGATCTGAATGTAGCTGACAAACTTGTAGAGCAAGGTTTGATCAAATCCTGCAGTGCTGAAAACTCACATAGTGAATGTCAAGGTACGTACTCTCGCTTAATTACTTCAGTTTACTTATTTTGAAGAACTTGTAAACACATTGGGGTGTCTAAGTAACTTCCTTCTAAAAATCTTGAATTCCACATGTCACCTCTTAATTTGGGAAGCAGTGCCCATGTGTATTTTACTCATTCACTTTGCTTGGGTTTTTGTAGGTAATGGAGGTGAGACCAAATGCTGCTGCACGGAATTAAAAGAGCAAGTAAGATCCAATCCAAGCAATACTTCCTTATGTTTGTAGAGTTTAAAAGAAACCATATGTGGGGAAGCAAATGGGAGTAGGGAGACAGTAGCTAACTGGAACATGGAAGATATGCAAAGTGTATCCTAACACTTTTTCTCAGTTTTCTGTAGGTGCTAATAATTAAAGCACCCTGAGACTGAGGGAGGATAGTGTATAGATCACACAGACTTCATTAGTCTGTACTTTGCCCCACATATGGCTCTTACTTTATTTTTCTATAGTGTGAAGTCTCAGGAGTGTTACTTTGTCTAAAGATAGTTCTGGTGTTTTGCATCACCTGTGTCATTTGGACAAAGGGCAGCTGGATTTTTTTCAGTAATATGGCTCTGTTTTGCTGTACACAACTTGGCAGACAGTTGCATATGTAAGAAAATTCTTACCATGTGTATTTCAGATAGAGATTAATATTAATATGTGCCACAGTTTCAGTCATGGAGCTAGGCTGAGAATCTGAGTGCAGTAGAAGACTGGAATATGTAACAGGGTTCACCAGTTGCAAGATTATTTTTTTCCTTTTAGAAAAAATTGAAATGTCTTACAGATATAGAATATTCACATAATTTTTGAAAGCTTTCTGGTTTTAAGCTTTCTCCTTTGCTATTTTAATTTAAGCTATTTATTAAAACTTTAGAACTTTAGATAAAGTGTAAAAAAAGTACACCAGAAAAGATGCATCAGCCTTTGTCAAAGTGATGTTCTTTGTCAGAGGAATAAGCAAATGTAATTTTAAAGACAGAAACCCCTTTCAAGGGTGTTTCAAACTTTCCTGTCTTCCCCCAACCACAGGCAGCAAGATGAAAAGCAAAAATGGTATTTTAGAGGTAGGAAAAGAACATTTCTGTTCAAAGTCTCACTGCTTCAGAGTTAGTGTCGTTACTGGGAGTTCACTGGCAGAAAGGCAGTAATGTTCCTCAGTGTAGCTGGTTTCTCTGTCCCAGTGTAGGCTGTTGAGCCCCCTTTTCCATTCCCCCTCTGTGTCTCTTTGATCTTCCAGTTTGATCTAGCTAATATGTTTTCTGACTTCAGTTTGATCATCTTCTGTTACACTTCCTTACTGGTTTTGTTCAAAGTCTCATGAGAGATGAAGAGAAGACAGATGATTATATTATAAACTGAAAACATAAGAAAATAGACATGTGTGAATAACCAGATTGTGATCTCAGTCCTGATTTGAGTATTTAATCAATTAGGTTTGAGGAAGCTGCTTCAGCAAAAACAAAAGTGGGGAAAGGGACACATTCACATGGACAGGGAAAGTCAGCTAAAATTCTGCTGGATTTTCCCCCCTCCAGAAGATTTTACAACAGAAAGGAACCAATATGGGGTTTTGCTGAGTTAGTAGTGTCAGGATCTACCCTGATCTGAAACCAGCAATTAAAAAACCACCAGAATTGTGCATCTCTAATTCTTTCTGCTTATTCCACAGCTTAAAAAGCATGAACAGGTCCTGCTCTTCCTTTTAAACAAGTATGGGAATACAGATGGATTCACTGAAATGAAAAATCTGTTGCAGCCTTAAGTCTCTGACAGGCACCAATTCATTTGTCTGTAACCAGTTCCTTTTTTTGGAAGAGGAAGAGCATCCACCAGCTTAAAAAATGAGTCACTTTGTAGAGATTCTGCTGTTTAAGTACCTATATTTATCTGTATGCTTGGGTTGTTATTGTGACAAAAGTATGTAACTTGAAGAATTGCAAAGTGGCAAGCTAAAAATTCTATTCTGTTTTTGTTTTATTCTACCATGTCCTGCTAAACTTCTTGCTTTTATTTTCCTGTTGAATGCACAGAAGTTTATGAAATGGCCACTACATTGTAAGTCTATTTTGTAAACTTGCATTGGAAATTATTGTAATCATAAAGCTTACTTAATTTTCATATCATTAATGTTACTTGAAAAACTGTATCTAACCTTGATTACTCTTCTTTCAGCTTAATTTCTGGTCTCAAGTTAGACAGAATTGTTCTTTATAAACTTGGTTTCAGTATCATTAAAGGGTGAATGTTGTCTTGGACTACATACAGGTAGTTCTCTCTAAAATCAGTAAACACTTTAATGTGCACTGTTCTTTATTTACACCTATGCTATCTATTATGCATCTGTGAATATTGTTTTGAAGTGAATTGTATTAGAGCTGTTTTGTGTGTAGCTACATCATCAGGATTTCTACCTATCAAGTTTTCACATCATAACAGAAAAGACCCATTCTGGGTTATGACAAAAATACTGAGTCAGATTATTAACAGATGTTCAGTATTTCTGTAGTTGAGTACCTAGTTGTCCTTTCTGACTAATCTAGGAATGTCACATTACTGTTTGTGGAACCTAATAAACATTTGCTCATGAAACTGCAGTCAGCCTTTCTTGTCCACTTGAACTATATATTTTAAGCTTGGGCTTTGTGCAAATTGGACAAATCTTGAGATTAAGCTTGTTGTGCAAGTGAAATATTTTTGAGTTCATGTTTTATTACCCTTAAATTGCCTCAGATTTTTTTCCCTGCCTCTTAGTTTTTGTTGCATCATGTTCTTGCAGTAACTAATAATTAGATGAATGCTTGCACTTGGGTTTCTAGAGTTCTGTTTGTGCCCCTGGTTCTGAACCAAAATTGTAGTTGTGTCAAGTGTCCTTTGACCCTGTCATGTAAGGCAGAAATGTTTTGTCCAAAGCTGGACCATCCTGTATTTTAAATTAATTGCTTGAGTAATGCTTTCTTCCTTGGCTGTTATTGTGGGAGCTGCTTTTTGGTGGCAGGTGGGATCTACCCCAGTTCTGTATCCTTTAGCTCCGAATCAGACCTGTGCAGAACAGAGAACAGCTGGGCAGGGCCTGGGTGCTGCACACACAGCTCATCTTGTGTCCTTTTCCTGCTGGGGAATTCTTGCATTGCTCAGCTCTCAGGGGTAGGGACTCGTTACAGCATGTGTGAGTGGCACCACGTGTCCTGACAGAGAACAGAAGTGAAAAGCAGGATAAGGAAAGCTGATCTAGGAATGGGATCCTACTTCAGTATAGCTTCTGTTAGTGAAATAATCTTATTATGTGAATTCCACTTTATTCCTAAAAAATGCAGCTATTTATAACTCCAAAGTATATGAAGTTAATGCTTTTCAAAAAATACTGACTTGCAGAGAGTTTTTTTTCTGCTGCTGCGGTTGCACGTCTTCAGTTACAGAACAAAACATCCCCCCCAGTTAAACAAAAGACCCCAAACAAACAAACCCACCAAAGAGCCAACCACACAAAACTAAAACAACTCCAAGCAACACAACACTTCTGAAACAGACCCCCTACATCATTCCTCTAGGTGTAGTATGTGCGAACATGGCACTTTTACTCACCAGTAGAGTGTTTTCTCTGGACAAACAAGCATTAGGAAAACAGTCTCAAAAAAAAAAAAAAAAAAGTTGAATCCTAGGTGAAGCTACTGTAGAGCTGTTAGGAGGCAGAGTAACCCGGAGCCTGTGGCTGTACTTGTGCTCTGTGCTGTTGCCAGGCCTGCTGGCTGTGCTCCAGGAGCGCAGACATTTTCAGCTATGCGAAGTCGGTGTAAATGAGCGGATACAACAGTGTTGCTCTTAAATCTAACCTACGGCAATGTGGGTGGGTGTTCCTGGTGCTGCTTCCCCCGCCCCAATTCAAGGTTGCAGGTGGCAGGATGTGATGGATGGGGAGGAGAGGCTGTCACAGCTGAGCATGGTATAAATTCAAGAGGGGAGGAGGCTGTTCGTGAATTCCGTAGGTGTACGAGAGCTGCGCAGAGTCTGCAGAAAAAAGGTAAAGTGCACCTCGGACAGGCTTTTTTTCCTTATATGCATATATATACATTATTATTTTCCTTTTTTATTTGATAACATCTTAAACCTTACCTTGGAGGGTAGAGCCCGCGTGGGGAGGCAGAGGTGCTGGAGGTTCGCTCGCCCAGCGGGGCCGGGTGGGCTGCAGTCTGCGGGGCAGGGGGCGAGGGCAGCCCCGGCCCGGCCCCTCCGGGCGCCCTGGCGGGGAGCGGAGCCGGGCTGGATCAGGAGGTGATGGAGCCAGGGTGAGCCTTCCCGAGGAGGGCTTGGGCTGGTCCCCAGCGGGGCGGGCCGGTCCCAACAACGAAACCTCTCCGGCCCCTCGCAGGGGTGCGCGGGCAGCGGGATGCGGCCGGCGGGCCGGAGCCCCTGGGCCAGCCGGGGTCAGGGAGGTGGTGGTGGCAGGAGCACCCAAAGGAGCCGGTTGCACAGCTGAGGTCCTGCTCCGGGTCGGGAGGAGCCTGGCCACCGGTGAGCCCCGGCGGGTGTGTGCCTGTGGTCCCGCCCAGGGCACAGCTCTGCCCCTGCGCTCAGTCGCGGGGATTTGGGCAGGCTCCACCGCAACACGTGGTTAATCTGTTTTCTGTAACGAATGAATAGTGCCGTGCTACCTTATTAAAATAACAAAACCCCCCCATCACCTAGAAAACCAGACCCAGCGCACGTTCTAGTGCTTGAATGGATTTGTTTCTAGCTCTTCTAGGGTGCGGCCAGGGGAAAGTGCTGAACCTGCCAGGGCAGGTTCCAACAGGTTGTGTCCCATGTCCTTAATAGAAATCTTTCTGCAGAAGACGCAAAACCAACTTGATTAAATCTTGATGATCAAGGAAGGACTAAAGGACCTGGAATGATACAGGTAATGTGTTTGGACCTTTGTACTTCATGAAGAAACGAGAATGGCTGTTGTCTGTGAATACAGCAACAGCAGCTTTTCCTGCTATGGTGCAATGGGTAGAGGAGGACTCAGGCTGGTTCCTAGTTGTGATATAAATTCATGCACCTGTGAGCAAGTCACTTTGTCTCTTCTTACCTTGGCTTCTGTTAAAGAGGGATGAAGATGCCTTCCCCAGTGGCCTGGGCTGGAAAGAAAACGGAGATGGCTGGACCCTGCTTCCGAGTTATCTGGGAAAATGTGAACAGACATTAAAATGTGACCTAGTAATTGTGAAAATTATTTCATGGGGACTTGTGCTAAGTTGACTTCCATTTTGTTTGTTTATTTTGCATAGTAAAGATGAGGCATTACCGTGAGACAAGTCCCACATATAACCACATTTTCCCACTTCATTCAGAGAGGGCTGTGCTGTACAGGCAGTGTGTGTGCTGAGCCATTCTTCATCTTCTGTGTGCTGAGCTATCGACCACATCATCTCCTGTGTGTGTTCCTAAAGATATCTGGGTCTTCCAGGAAGACTCTGAAAGGAATAAGTAGATGGAATGACTTAAAAGTTAGGTCTCTTTTGACCCTACTGCAGTTTCGGAAACAAACAAAAAAACATGTGGAAGATTCCTATTTTCTAGAGTAGGGCCTTTAGGAAGAGCCCACAGGCTGCTGTTCTGAAAATGCATGCAGGTATCAGCTTGTACATGTTTGTGGGAGTGACACCATGGAGATAATTCCCAGGTTTGTGGTTTGTCTTTGGGGCTCACAGAGATGCAGCAGGAAGATAAGGTGTGTATCAGGGTTAGTTTTGTAAAAGGGGCCAGGTGAGATAATCTCAGTATGTTTCATATTCTGAGAGTTGAATTGAATACCAGAGATGTTCGAAAAGGATGTTTCCTCTCTCCCTTCAGCCTCTGCTTTAGGTAATCACTGCAGCTGACAGGCTTGGGAAAAGTACAGTTCCTCATTTTTGGCAGTATCAAGTGTCTTGGGAAGGGCAGACCAGAATTCTGTTTCCTCGACCAGTTGCAACCCTTTTTTTCCCCCTTTCTTACAGAGACCAGTCCCTTCTCAGGCAGGTGCTTGGCTCATTGTAGGTGCAGTTGTGCACCTGCAGGTAGCACAGGTGACCATAGTAGCCCATGGTACTGGGTTCACTGTGTCTTCAGACCACAGTTTGATTTTGTCTCATCAGTAAGAATAAGCAAGCCTGGATATTTGGCAGATGCTGAAAGACATGTTGGGAAGGTACTTGTCAAGAAGATCTCTTCTCCCCTCTACCTCTCTCTCCCCTCTCATTTCACTCCTCCAAATAAGGTGGTTATACTCTTACTTCGCTTTGCATAAGTTGTCATCACATTTAAATGGCCTGAGTAAGAATCTGGATACAAAAGTAGGAGTTTTGACTGACTGACTGCGGTTTGGAAAAGAAAAATAAATTATTTTTGACTCTGTGCTGAGGTAAATATTTTTGAGATTCCCTTCCTTAATGGCCACTAAGATAAACTGAAAAGGACCTTCACTCACCACCCCATCCCCCAGCAAAGCTGCTGTCTAAAGTTGCTGCTGCTAATCCTGGGCTAATGCTGATGTGCAGCAGGTGATGATGAAGCTTTCTTTCAATTCCTGCTGCTGAGAGTCTACCTGGACTGAAAGCAAAGAATTCATCGTGCAGGTTAGTTGATTTAAATCCAAGATAAGACCAAGTTGTAGAAACATCTTGACCTGTCAATGTTTTGTATGAAAAGAACCTGAAATCCCCCCCTCACACACACCTGTCACATCTGTTGCAAGCAGAGGCTTGTCCTCCATTGGGTGATGTGAGCTCTGGAAATAGCTCCTAGAAAGAATGTCCTTGGGGCATGGCAAAAGAATGACCTTCCCTCTGTGGCATGTGCCAGGGCTTGGAGCTTCTGAGGGACATAAGGGCCCCCTTGGTGAACTCATGTTTTGTGTTGACCTCCCTTTACTTAACCAAGCTTGGGTTAGTTTGATGAAGTCTGGTGGGGGTGTGAGAGGATGTGATGAAGGGTGATGCTTGTAAAGCACCTGGTACTGCAAGACACAGTGTTACTGTGTTAATAATCCTTGGTGACACTTAATCCCCTCTTCATTGTGGACCTGGGCAGGTAACTGGTCATGGCCTGCTGCAGATATCTTACCTTGTCTGATGAGAGGGGTGTGAGGTGCAAGCAGCTGCATGGGCTTAATGAGCCCTTGCTCTGAGCAGTGTGTCTGGGATGGGTGCTACAGATTCCCCTGGCAGAGGGAAGGATCAGAGACTGATGCTCTACTGTAAGACAAGCCCATCACTTCAGGTATCTCTCCCACTCTCCTGAGGAGCTGGCACAGAAGAGAAGTTTCTGATGCTTAAAGCTCAACTTGTGTCCTGGGGTTTAAAGTTTTACGTATCCCTGGGAGTATGCCTGCCTCTTGATAAAGTCTTCCCATCCGTAGAAACACA